AGGATAATGGGTAGGATTCAGGTTTGTATGTGGGGTTTGGATTAGGGGAAAAGGTATACATGTGGGGTATTATTATATTCAGGAATGGACTGACAGCATTCTCGATCTCTGGGTTACGTTAGACTCTGGACCCCTCAATGCCCTTTCTCCCCTTTCACGCCCATTCCACTTTTATTCGTTAATCTTATGTTTTAACCTTCATTTTTATAGTATATTAATACTATCTTTTTAATTTATATATCTTGCTTAATATAAGGTATATTTATGATTTTAAATAAAGTACTATTAGCCATGATCACTATCACGTGATCATGACGTAATTTTTCCTTCAAATTAGATTTTAGCATGTATTATACCCTATATAAGAATGTGTTTGCCAGTTATTTGCTTAATTTCCACTTGAGAAAGCCCATTGTGGGTGAAACACGTTGTGGACGGTTTTTACTGCTATTTTTTTTGTCACAATAAAGGTTTTTGGCCATTTTATAAGTATATTGTGCCATAGACCTTTTCTTTTATTACGTGGCATCCTGATTTTATTTTCCCAGGGAGGACGTCACCAGGTGGGGATTATACCACCTACGCTGATTACATTGAGCGGTCTATCTGCTCAGAAAAGTGGGAGTACATTTAATCTATTTTTACTCCTGTTTTATTATATTTTATACAGAGAGCACTATTGTCGCACTTCTTATATTAGTTCTTACACATACCCTGCTGCTACGATATCTGTTGATTGCACCTTCCTTCAAAATCCCTGAAATCCACTGCAGGCGCACTATACTAGAGCTGGTTTTAGCTCTATTCCGTGTGAGTAGGCCATTTGGAACTTCTTTTTATCTGTTATATTTTATTTTGAACTTATTACACTATTGGAGCCTTTTTTTCTTTTATAGATGTTCCTGGATCCTGATCTTGGTGGTTTACAAACCTGAGGATACAAGCAAACTTTACTAGGCTTTCACATACTGCTACTATTAAGACTTTATTTTGCATTCCTGTTTTTACCATGTGGTACACTTGTATTGTTATCTAAGGACTCTGCATATTTTGCTCCACTTTTATTTTCCTATTTACATATATTGTACCCCTAACCCTTTGGCGCACCCTATCATTTTATATTCCTCATATATACTTTTATATAGCGGTTTTGAATTTGAGTAATATATGTAATATGTATGGGTGCACTTATACAGAATGGGTGAAATTGTGGTAGAATGACCATGGCAAAAGTGCCAAAAAGTTATTGATTACAAACGCGTTGCATTTCAAAAAGAGATTCTGTCCATAAGGGGTTAAGTCTATCAATTTCAGCTTTTCACACATTGTTTTTGAAGCTGGTGCAACAGAGGGGAGGAAATCCCAATTTCAACTTTACCAACAAAAAATTAGGGTAAAAATGGATCAACTCCCTCTGCAGATTCCTAATACTGGAGCACTATAAGTCGCTGTGTCCATGGAGTGACGGTGTTGACTCATTGCCAAGCTTGGGCTGGTACAGTTGTCCTCAAGGTTATGCTCAGGGATGCCTATTCGAGTGACCCTCGTAAAAGATCTCTACTTTTACCTAGTCTGGGCATCGGCCTACTATGTTAATTCCATGAGCTAGCTGGCTCAGTACTGGGCCCTCACATGGGGTTTACACAATAATCAACCAGTGCACCAATCATTTTTTTTAAGGGTCCATATGTTTGTTTTTTTCCTCTTAATTTCGTTATATGGGCACTGTGCCATCTGTCTACTCATGTAAAAAAAAAAACCTCATTCCACATGCTAATGCCTGCAATGTCATATTATACTATTTTATATTTTATTTTATTTGTTTTGTATATATATCAATCAATTAAGAGATTTGAACTATAAATAAGAAATAAAGGAATCAACACGTTGTTTCAATGCAAATTATTATATCCTTGAATATTCGTTTTCAATGTTATTCATTGACAATTGTTAAGAATTCAAAGGGAATTAAAAATTTAAGGCCAAAATATCTGAACTACATCAGCACATCTTTCAAAGCGAACAGTATTCCAGCCGCAGTATCTCAGCAACAGGGCCGGACTGGGGATTCCAAAGCAGCCCTGGAAAAAAAAAAATCTATGCCAGTCCCATAAGTCATTGCGCCATATATTGTCGCATGTGGCTATGTCTTGTCACCCCAGACGATTGAGATATATTTATATATATTGCTTTTTCCAATATAAAATATTGGTCCTTTCAGAGTAAAATTTTTAATTATACAGTAGGCATACTCACATGCAGACACAGACAATCTCACTGACACAAGCTGATTGATACACAGCCTCATAGACAAACAATCTCACTGATATACATAAGGTCATTGACATAAAAACACAAGCTCACTCAGTAGCAGGAATACACACACACACACACACAAGCAAGCCCACTCACTAGCAGGCGCGCACACACACACACAGCTTAATGTAGTGGCTCTGGTGTCTATAGCCTGTCCCTGCAGGCTTTTCAATGTAAACACTGACTTTTCAGAGAAAAGGCAGTGTTTACATTGCTTCCTAGTGACAGACACTCAGACGCAGGGCCGGCGCTACCTGTAAGGCGACCTAGGTGGCCGCCTAGGGTGCAACTTAGCAGGGGGCGCCTGCCCTGCTGCACCCGGAATCGGCAAGAGTCAGACCGGCGGCAATTGATGGGCGGGCTGGCGGCAGGCCGGTGCGGCACTCCTCCTCATGCTGTGCCGCCTGAGCGCTACAGAAAGCCTCAGACAGCACAGCACTGCTCTATGGAGGGCGGCCGCAGAGAGACGCGACCGCCCATGAGACCGCCTACGAGACTGCCGACCCCACGAGACCGCCCATCATGCAACAGTAAAGGTGGGTGGTCTCTCGGGGTCAGGACAGGTCACAGCACAGACACAGTCTACTTACCTGCTGCTGCTGGAGCCTGGAGGCGGAGTTTAAGTGCTCCGTGCGCTGGGCGGCCGGAAGTGACCTCTAACCGACCCCATCCTCCATTGAGCACAGAGAGGGGGATTTTAAAGTGGAAGAAGGTGCCATCTTCAAGTGCCTGCTGCTTGCAGTGGCTGTGGCCTCCTCCTGTAGCTGGTTCCTGCTTCCCCAGCCTCCACAGCCTGTATTTGACCAGGAGCCACACTGCAGCCAGAGACCATCATCATCTTGTCCTTATCTGGTGTGGTAAGTAGGAATCCAATATTTTTATTATTTAGTAATATTATTACATAACTATTTTACTTCACATTAAAAGGACACTATAGTTCCAGAACCACTACAGTTTAATGTAGTGGTTCTGGTGTCTATAGCCTGTCGCTGCAGGCTTTTAAAAGGTAAAAAAAAGGTTTTCAGAGTAAAGACACTGTGTGCAGTACTGGTGTTAAACGATCACTATAGTGTGAGGAAAACAAAGTGGTTTTCCTGACACTATAGTGCCCTAAGAGTGCCCCCACCCTCAGGGTCCCCCTCCCGTGGCGCTGAAAGGGGTTAAAACCCCTTCAGCAGCTTACCTTATTCCAGCGCCTCTCCTCCCCCACAAGTGCCGCGCGCGCATTCAAAGTGTCCATAGGAATGCGAGGGGCATCGGCGCTGGACTCCGGTCAGCAACTTGGGATGTGGGGTGGGAGGGAGAGGGGTACTACAGGGTCCTGCAGTGCCAGGAAAACTTATATGTTTTCCTGGCACTGGAGAGTCCCTTTAACGTTCCCATATAGATGCATTGATTCATTGCATCTGTATGAGGAGATGCTTTTTGGTGAAGTGTTTTGTTGCACAGGCACAATAGCCTCCCAATGCAAATGTTAATGATCTGTGTGGGGGAAAAAACGTAATATCGCTTTATGACCACACGGAGGTGGGGTGGGGGGGTGGGGGACTGCACTAATGTAACAGGATACAGTTGTATAGTGTTCCTGACGATATAGTGTTCCTTTAAGCTGCTCTCCACCTCCACTACATCAACCACCGTGCCCACACATGCGTAATGTAGAGATCTTCTGGCTTTTGGCTGATGAAGTGAAGGTAGGGCCATGTAAGGTAAGAAGTCAAACTGCTCTAATACGGTTTGACTACTTACATGGGGGCGGTGTCAGACCACTATACTATGTAGTGGTAATGGTTCATAAAAAATGTCTCTTTAATGAAATGTACAATTTGAACTATGTTTTATTAGGTTCATTTCTAAAAGTGTGAATTTTTGGGAATTAAAGTGAACTTCACAGTAGCCAAATGGAGGGGGGGTGGGGGAATGGGGATATTGGGGAACTGTAACATAGTGATGGATATCACATATGGTGTAACTGAATCCCAATTATTTTTTGTTAATTTTTTTTTTTTTGTTGCTAGTAGTGGTGATTTTAAAGTAGCTTCATAAAATTTAAAACTGGATTTATTTTGTGCACTGTTCCCTAATCTGTATTTTGAGGCTGAAACATTGTCACTTCAGTAGCGTGCCAACAAGGGGCGATAGGAATAGTTCAGAGGGGGTACACAGAGTAACTCCCCATTACATTTTGTTGCATGGACCCAGATAGAAGATTGAATTAATTTGTAATGTGACTGACCATGTATGACTGTAGGTGAATGTTTGTGACTGTGTGTAATTGTGTAATTATGTTGTGACGCTGTATGATTGTGTGTCTGTGCATGGGGGGTGCTAGCTCTCACTTGCCCTTTAATTCTTCATGTTTACATCAACTGCTCTCATACATACACATATATTTTTGCGTCTTTCACACTCCCACACGTGCGCACATATGTACAGTAGGTTTCTGAATGATTTTCAGGTATTATTGTGGTTTAATGATCATCAAAGAGAATATTAATTGAATATTAATAATTTTTGATGTACATTTATTCTACAATAGTTATTTTGATAATTGAACAAGATGTCTGCACCACGAAAGAAATTGTCTGGTGCTGCTTTCCGAAAGAAAAGAAGGCTCCAAGAAGATGGTTGGATCATTAAATAGGTTCTTTAAACCTGATCCAGTACTGAAAGCTGTAAGCGAGATGGAGTGCAAAACTAAAGAGAATCGTGAAGCTGTAGATGTCGAACCACACCCTTCTACTTCAACTACTACTGTGGGCGAACATTCTTTGGGCATAGAAAGTGATACAAACACAGAGGAAGAGAGTTCACAGAAATCATCATCAGAAGATGAAAATGGAAAAAGCACGCTCTTTGATCCAACGGACTGGCCTGATATGCTTACTAGCTCACTAAAAGAAACCATCGTTCTGAAAGGTCTGGCAAAGCCAAAAGGGCACTTTGCATTTCCTAAAGATGCATCCAAGAGACGGTTTACATCAACCCACTACAGACGGCGCCTTGGAAATGGTGAAGTGCATGTTAGAAAGTGGCTTAGTTATTCTCCTAGACTGGACAAAATATTTTGCTTTTGTTGCAAACTCTTTACAACTACGAAAATAAGCCTGACAACGGGAGGCTACAATGATTGGAAAAATTTGTCCCAGTGTCTGGCTACACATGAAGTGTCTCACCTCACTGCTATGGGAAACTGGACCCAACTGTTAACAAGGCTTGGGTCTGGAAGTACTATTGACCATTCATACCAAAGATTATTGGCAACTGAAACGCAGCACTGGCAGAATGTTCTTCAGCGGCTTGTAGCCATTGTTCAATATCTTGGGAAGCAGTGCTTGGCCTTCAGGGGCAGCAGTGACACGCTGTACTCTGAAAATAATGGAAATTACTTGAAACTTGTAGAAATTATGGCAACATTTGATAGTGTGATGCAAAGCCACTTGAAAAAGATACAGAATTCAGAAATTCATCAGCATTATTTAGGAAAAGACATCCAAAATGAACTAATTGATTTAATTTCAAAAGAAATACGGAGACGCATTCTACGGTTGCTTAAGGATGCCAAGTACTATTCCATTATACTTGACTGCACCCCTGACATCACTCTTGTTGAACAGATGACTATGGTTTTCAGGTTTGTATCTGTTAAGCAAGGAGACTCGCCAATTGCAAATCCTGAAATACACGCCGAGGAAAGATTTCTTGGTTTCCTAACAGTTCACAACTCATCTGGAGAAGGATTAACAGAGGCAATTTTGAATGAGCTTGAAATGCTGAAGATACCACTCAGTGATATGAGAGGTCAAGGGTATGATAATGGCTCCAACATGAAGGGAAAGCACTCAGGAGTACAAAAAAGAATCATGGACCTGAACTCACGTGCTTTCTATGTCCCCCGCAGTGCTCATTCCTTAAATCTTGTAGTACATGATGCTGCTATGTGCTGTAGAGATGCCAGTACATTTTTTGGCATTCTTCAGAAAATATATGTTTTTTTTTTTTATCAGGTTCAACAAATCGATGGGATTTAAATTAAATTTAATTAGATAGAATAACTGTTAGAAAGTATTTAAGCTGTTTACGAAGTTGTTGAAGCTGTTTACAAAGTTGTTTAGCACTTAAATTGAATGCTGCATTTATATATTTATTTTACTATGTGTTTGGGGTTCTTTGAATGACCATACCATTTCTATTGTTGCACTTATATTATGCAAGTATGCCACTATAATATAAATGTTTCCATGTGTTTTTCTCTTAACAACTGTATGTTGTATTGCACTTTCACAATGTTAATGTATTAAACTATTTAAATTTGCACTTTATTTGTGCATTTGTCAATGTCTTGAACTAAAAGCTACAGGGTTATTCACCAAAATGAGAATTTTTAAAGTAAATTCTAAATTTAAGGTCAAAGTAGCTTAAGTTATGGTAGTTATTCTCCACCATTCTAAATAGGGGGCTTAATTTCAACATATAACTATTAATTTAAATGTTGAGAAAGGGGTGATGTCATGATATGGGTAGATCATATGGGTTTGTGATGTCACATCGTGGGCCGGGCATATGGGGGGCGGCAATTTTTATTTTGCCTAGGGCGGCAAAAATCCTTGCACCGGCCCTGCTCAGAGGGTCACTAGAGGTGCTTCCTGTGTCAGTGCGGATTGGCTGAGGTCATCAAGGTTGATGATCTCAGCCATAGAGGCAGGGCCAGTCGAGGGGAGACCAGCACGACATGGGGGAAAAAAAAAAAGATGAGTAAAAACACACACACATACCATGACAGACACACACCATGACACAGACAGACAGACCGTGACACAGACACACACACACACCGTGACACAGACAGAAACACACACACACCATGACAGACAGATGCACCATGACACAGACAGACACACACCATGACAGAGACACACACATACCATGGCAGACACACACACATACCATGACAGACAAACACATTAAAAAATACACACACACACACCTTGACACACACACACACACCATAACACAGACATACCGTGATACAGACACACATTACATGACACAGACACACACACCACGACACAGTGAGACCGTGACACAGATACACACACACACACACACACACATTACATGACACAGACAGACACACACACCATGACATACAGACACACACACACACACCATGACAAACACACACACCATGACACCTACAGACACACGTTACATGACAGACACGCACACACAATGACAGAGACACACACACACCATGACACAGACACACACAATGACACAGACACACACAATGACACAGACACACATTGCATGACACAGACAGACACACACCATGACCCAGACAGACACACCTTGACAGACACACACATAAATGACACAGACACACACTCACACAGACACACATAATTGCTACCTGTGTGCTGGCGGCCACATGGGGCCGTATGGGGGAGCTGGCTCTTCTGGCGGCTGCAGAGGGAGCTCTTTTGGCGGCCGCAGGGGGAGCTGACTGTTCTGTCTCTGCTCCCCCGCCCCAGCGCGCCGCTTAATGAGACCGGGGCCGGAATGTGACTATTCTGGCCCCGGTCTCATTAAACGGCGCACTGGGGCGGGGGAGCAGAGACACAACAGCCAGCTCCCCCTGCGGCCGCAAGAACAGCGAGCTCCCCCTGCGGCCACCAAAAAGAGCTCCCTCTGCGGCCGCAGGTCAACCAGATGCCTGCCCGGCCCCAGGTGCCGACAGCCCACCGGGAAATTTCCCGGTATCCCGGTGGGCCAGTCCGGTCCTGCTCAGCAACACAAATTTGTTTACCAGCTAACAGTCTCACACTTCTAAGGTCAATAAAAAAAAAAAAGTACCATTAAAGGAACATTGCAAACAATAATACTGCTTCAGACTGCTGTAGTGGGTATGGTACCAGAATGCCCTGGTGCTTACTCAGGATAAATGGTCAAACCATGTGAGAACGCTTTCACAGCTCAGTAGGGGTACACTGAGCTCCAGTCACTGCCTCCCCTTAAGCTGGGTACTGTTAAGGACGGCTAATTGGTTGAAAGCGCCAACTTAATAAGCTCCCAGCCAAGCGTCTCCCTGCTACACCGAGTTTAGCTCAGAGTATGAGCTTCCAGGCAGGGGCGTATTAGCCGCGAGGCAAACAAGGCATTTGCCTTGGGTGTCATTTTTCAGGGGGCGGCAAAAAACGCCGCCCCCCAAATGCCCAGGGCAAATGTCTAGTTAGCCTTGCGGCTAACTGACATCCCGAGTGGGCTGGGCGGCATTGGCGAGCGGGCTGGCGAGGGAGATCTTCCTATGAGCTGACTGCTCAGCTCCCTCGCGCGCCGCAGAGTGAGGCTGGGAGCCGGAATATGAAGAGCTTCATAGGAAGAGCTCCCTCGCCAGCCGCCCGCCTGACCTGCAGCCACCGGACCACCAGGGAGAGAGACCCCCCCCCCAGCACTCCCAAAGGTAAGGAGGTTGGGGGGGGGATTTAAATTAAAAAAAAGTCAATGTGTGTGTTTGTGTCTGTGTGTGTGTGTTTGTGTCTGACTGTGTTTGTGTGAGACTGTGTCTGACTGTGTTTGCGTGTTTGTGTTTGTGTGTTTGTGTCTGACTGTGTTTTATGAGGTGTGTGTGTGTTTGTGTCTGACTGTTTGTGTATGTGTGTGTGTGTGTGTGTGTGTGTGTGCAATCTGACTGTGTGTGTGTGTGGGCTGTGTGTGTGTTGTGTGTGTCTGACTGTGTGTGTGTGTGCGTGTTTTGTGTGTGTGTGTGTTGTGTCTGACTGTGTGTCTGACTGTGTGTGTTTGTTGACCGGTGATGTGTCTGACTGTGTGTGTTTGTGTCTGACTGTGTTTGTGGTGTGTAGTGTGTCTGACTGTGTGGTGTGTGTTTGTCTGACTGTGTGTCTGACTGTGTGTGTGTTTGTGTCTGACTGTGTGTGTGTGTGTGTTTGTGTCTGACTGTGTGTGTGTTTGTGTCTGACTGTGTTTGTGTCTGTGTGTGTGTCTGACTGTGTGTGTGTGTTTGTGGGGTGTGTGTTTGTCTGTGTGTGTGTTTGTGTCTGACTGTGTTTGTGTGTCTGACTGTGTGTGTGTGTTTGTGTCTGACTGTGTGGTGTTTGTGTTTGTGGGTGTGTGTGTGTGTTTGTGTCTGACTGTGTGTGTGTGTTTGTGTCTGACTGTGTGTGTGTTTGTGTGTCTGACTGTGTTTGTGTGTGTGTGTTTGTGTCTGGGCTGTGTTTGTGTCTGACTGTGTGTTGTGTCTGACTGTGTGTTTGTGTCCTGACTGTGTGTGTCTGACTGTGTGTGTGTGTGTGTTTGTGTCCTGACTGTGTTTGTGTATGTGTCTGAGGCTGTGTTTGTGTCTGTGTGTGTGTCTGACTGTGTGTGTGTGTGTCTGACTATGTGTGTGTGTATTTGGAGGTGGGTAGGGAGGGTTGGGTGGGGGTGGCTCGGGGGGAGGGGGGCACCTGAGTTTTGTCCTGCCTAGGGCAGCACAAAACCAGGATACACCACTGCTGGTACCTCTAAAATAGAGAGAGTCTAATTTGCAATATCATCATTCTAATCTATGTCTGCTCCTGGTAAACTCCACTGTTGAATTTAATTCTATATAATAAATTTAGGAAAGCTTGTGAATGGCTATTAGCCCAGTTATTATGCTGGGAGCTATTAAAAAACAGCTAATTGTTAGAACCTATAAACCTCCCATAAAGAGCTTGATTGGTTAAATAAAAAATCCCGTTTATCAAGATACTAAAGTAAAAAAAAGCACCATTCAAAACTGTAAAGATAAAGGCACTCTAGGTTGAAGTGCTTCTCGTGGAACTCACAAGACTCGCAGTGAAATTCACTAAACTCCAAGTTCAATACGGATTGCAAACCCTGGAGTTTGTTCAGAACGAGTCAGAATTTCGTCTGAATTTCAGTAAGACCAAACGCTACCGTACAGCTGAAATCTTGGCCCAGATAGTTAAAATCCAGGCCTATATACTTCAAATTAATGCCTGGATTTCATAAATCTGAGCTATTTCCCCACTGGCAACAATAACAACCAGTGGGCAAAAAGTGAGAAGGTGAGTCTAGATTAATATGATAATGTAAGGGTGGCAAAGCGAGGGTGGGAGAGAGGAGTTAATGAAAGTGATGGGGTGTGTTGGCACTTAAAGCGCTTGTGGATGGTGATAGTGTATGGAGATTGTTTAAGTGTGTGTATGGGGATGACAGGGTGTATGGGGGGGGGTGAAAGGGTGCATGTGTGTGGGGTGTGTGGGGTGTGTGGGGCAGGGCTGCCATCAAAAATGTTGGGGCCCCTGACACAGTTCAAGGTCTGGGCCCCCAGGACCTGCCCCTGAGTCCACCCACAGTGGCCATTCTGAGTCTGCCCACAAGGATGCCTTGTGTGTGTGCAGTGGATGTGTTGTGTATAGTGGATAAATATTGCACATTTGTATAATGGATGTAGTGTTTTTGTGTTTTAGATACAGTGTGTGATTGTGTAGTGAATGCAAAGTGTGTGTTGGTGTAGTTGATGTAGTGTGTGTATGCTAAATGCAGTGTGTGTTTATGTAATGGATCTAGTGTGTGTATGGTGAATGCAGTGAGTGTTTGTTTTGTGGTTTTAGTGTGTATAATTGTGTAAAACAGAGGCTGCATTCGGGGAGGGGGGGTCATTTCTGGGGTATTTACATTTATTTGAACACACTTTATTTTATTCTCCCCTTCCTGCTTCTTACCTTGCGGCTAACTGACATGCTGGGCGGCGCTGGCTGATGGGCGGCTGGCGACAGAGCACTTCCTCTGAGCGGTCTGCTCAGCTCCCTCGCGCGCCGCATAGTGAGGCTGGGAGCTGGAATATGACATCATCAACCTGGCTCCCAGCCTCACTCTGCGGCGCGCGAGGGAGCTGAGAAGACCGCTCAGAGGAAGTGCTCCCTCGCCAGCTGCCAGCCCAGCAGCCAGCCCATCAGCCCGACCGGCAGCCACTGGACCACCAGGGAGAAAGAGGAACCCCCCCCCCAGCACTTCCAAAGGT